GTCTTGCCAACAGCCTATAGGCCTACTGTTATCACTTCTCATATTATTGCTCTGTCAAAAATCAAAAGCTGAATTAAAACAAAACTGAACTTACCATCATGGATCCATTTGCGTAAGTGTTTTTTGGGTAGTAAGTCATAACTGTTCCATAATAATGAGAAGCTTGAGTGCTGCTGATCAGCAGCAGCAGCAGAAGAGAGAGCAGCATTGTGCATGCGTAGTCTCTCCCCACAAAGAAAGTTAAACACCAACGTCTACTTCCAAAGACTGCCTCTCCTTCTCTCTCTCTCCCTTTTTATATTTGGCCAGTGTTGAGTAAGGCATTACAGTAGTAGTGGATTACAGTAATGTAGCCTGTTGCTTTTGGTTGTAATGCAGTAATACAATGTAATACTAATAAAATGTCAGTAATATTATACATGGCTCCTCTTAATAAGATGGTAGCTCCTCTGAAAACATCATTTCAGAGGAGATGAAATCTGAAACCTGCCTGTCTGAAAACGGCCTTAGATAGAAATATGAGTAGGATTAAAGAGAACACACAGTCTCACAGTGCAAGTTTCAAATAGAAATGTGAAATAATTTGTGGTATGTAGCAATAATACAAACATCAGTAAAAGTAATTATCGCAATAATCATAATAATAACAATAATAATTTTAGCAGCGGGTGTCGAGCAGGAACACAGTGTCAGCCGGAAGCCTGCACAGATCCCGACTCAAAAGCTCCTGAGGCAGAAACAACTGCAGAAAGCGACAGAAGGAGAGAGGAGAGGGACAAGAAAGTACAAAACTACGGTAAAGAGATGAAGCCGAGTTAGTAACACGCATTACTGGTATTAGAATTCATACAGATGGAGAGAGAGAGCAAAGAATTATGTTAAAATTAAACATTCGTTTAAGATTTAACAATTATAAAAGTGGCACAACCTATCAACATTGAGATGAAATAAAAAGCTCTGAATAAAATCTTAATCAAGATGCTGGTGCTGACTATTTTCCAAAGCTTTAGAATTATTCACAAACGTGATGATATTTTCCTTGTCCAATTGTAAGTACAGTAATAGAACAATCCTACTGTAAGTACAGTAGCAGTGCCACATCTATAACCCTCTATTGGATAAGTATCTGTTGAGAATATTTCTTAAGTGGCTTTGTTGATGCAACAAGGAAAGGTAAGACAGATCTAGCTTAGAGTAATTTAACGGCTCACAATAAGTCTTCAACAGTATCCAATGCATGTTATCTCTGTATATTGCAAATATTCTTTATACTTTATACTGTGAACTTTTGGTCAATGTGTAGCACATACCAGCACAAACTGTACTACTACAAATTTTGTAGGCTACATGTTTTTTTAATGATTTATTTCATAGGATCAGATGTTTTAGTTTTCTTTTGTAGTACTTGCAGAATCAGGTTTATGTCATATTTCTAAAGCTGATATAAACCTGATTCTGTTCATCATCAGTCAAATAAAATTTGATATTCAAAGCAAGCTCAGATCAGACAGTGGCTCCATTATCACACGTCCCTAGTTTGGAAGTCAATATCTGGGCTCCTCCTATGAAAACCACTGTAGAAACTGTAGACCAGTTCCATAGAAGTACAACAACTGAGAGTGTGCTGCTGTAATCAAACACCAGAGAGTTTTGACCCAGTGGTGAGATGTTGGTGTTTGACTGTTTATACTGTTAATGTATGTGTCACTGTCTGATTACTGTACAACTTTTAGTCATTGAAAGTGGTTTCAATAACTTAGATTAACTAAGGTCAATAAAAGTTGTAATATAACGAGGATAAAGCTAATATTTTATTTCAACTAAAGATAATTTGTTTTTGCAGTTCACAAGTACACATTTGACACAAAAAAGACATTTCAAAATGTTTGCTCGACTACAGGATCCCACTTACATTCATACAGTTAAGTGTTTACACATGAAAGAAGCTGAAAAATACAACCACATTCAGCTCACATTCTGTAAATGTGAAAACTGGAAACATGTTTAATATATATATATATATATGATCAACAAAATTATGAATTAGTCTGAAAAGGTTGCTGTGTTGTTTATTTAATCTCGGATTTAAGTTTATGAACATAACCTTTACAAACAATGCTTTTGAAAAGCTGTTTGCTTAACAGTAGAGTTGAAGCAGCTGCAGTTGTGCAGATTTAGTTGGCAGCCAACTGAAAACAACATTTTCCTGCAAGAGTCAATAAATGTTCATGTTGACACAGCAGGGGTCGTTGTGGTTCCATATTTCAGTTTCACACTAGCTCACGAGGCTTAGAGTGATGTCTGATGGCAGCACTTGTCTCAGCTTTTCAGCTCTAATCTGGACAGAAAATAGAAACAGTGGTGCTGAGATATGATCATGATTTTCTCAGATATGATGGTTCTGTGTAAAGTGGGGGAGCATGGTTTGAGAAAGTAAACTAAACTGAGACACAGGGCTGTTAACAAAAAATCAAACAGGATGTTACGGAAGTTTAAACGCATCTGTCAGCACTTGAAAGTGCTCGCTGGCTGCTTTCCAAAACAAAGCAAAAATTACACTCGTACTTCATTTTACAAGCCAGCTGTTGTCGTGAAAAAGCAGTCACAGCAAAAACTCAACAACGAGCAAAAGAGCTTCCCTCAAGACTTGGTATGAGTGGTGGGTGGTGATGGCACAGTGGATCAGACACATGCTCATTACGTTGTGTGAGTGCTAGTTGGTGGGTCAAGATATTACTAAAGAAACGTGTTATACTCCTAAGAGGTGTGCGTCAATGACAGTAAGTTTATACAAGTTGTGTTTAAATTACATTTTATGGCAGTTAAATGCCAATGAATGTACTGCTAGTGGGAGTGGTAGTTCCTACTCTCCAGGTGGAGAGCGGTGATAAATTCGGCTGGTGCCTAAAGTGTGATTTATACTTCTGCGTCGAATCGACGGCGTAGCCTCTACGTAGCCCCGTACCCTACGTGGTACCCTAAGCCGTACCCTACTCTGAAGCCTACGTCGTAGTCTGACGTGCACCTCCTAAAAAGTGTAACTACACGTAGAGGCGATGTGGACCATAAGAACTGTGATTGGTTGGCTGGATAGCCTCGCAATGCCTCCGAGTCAACAGGAAGTGGCCCGTGCTTTGAAGTAAATTTTGTAACACTTTCTATGAAGGTCATCGCTATAATGACTTATGAATATATTTATAACACGATATAATGCGTCCATAAGACATTATAACAATTGTTATAATCACTTACAAACATGTATTAGGCGCTATAGCAAAGTTCATAACGTATTATGATCTTTTGATTTAATGTTTTATAACTAAAAGTAATACCAGTTTATACCACTGTGCGCCAATAATCTCCGACCATGTTCCATAACACATTATAACCACCGACTCTGCCTCGTTAGAAATACACTTTAGTCACCATTTACAATTAGTGATATAAAATGGAATAATAGCTTACAGTAATGTTTAATGTTCTATAACATGTCTTTCTTTCTTTTAAATAAAGTGTTAAAATGTCCATCCCTGTGTAATATATCACAGGTGGGCATAATACCACATGAACAAATTTTAACTTATAACACGTATTTGTTTGCTTAACTCTCTAAGAGTTGAATTGACACTCTGTTTTTTACTGTCATGACAGTTTGAACAAACAGACAGAGAGAGAGAGAGAGAAATGGTGTGGGTGTAAGTACAGCTGACTTGCAAAATATTTCCTCTAAATATAAAGTGTGCGTTGTTGTAAGTACATTTACTCAAGTACTGTACTTAAGAACACATTTGAGGTACTTGTACTTGAGTCTTTTGTTTTCATGCAACTTTATACTTTTACTCCACTACATTTCAGGGTTATTATCACATGGGGCCAGTTACATACATAGACAACAAGAATCACATAGAAAGATGTTTTCCAAGATAAAATTTTTATTTTATTGTTTTTACATGATAAATACCTGATAAATCCTTCATTGTACAGGAGTGATCATCATCTGGCGGCCCGTGGGCAACATCGGGAACGCCAAAGCTTCCCATCTAGCCCACAGAATAGTTACTGATGAAAGTAATGCAATATTAATTTATTATTAGAAACTGTGCATCTGCGGTGAAATTCCCGGTATAATGCTCTATCAAGTTACTGCCAATGCAAACTGAACATTTCTTACTGCGGCAGTTTCACATTAAAAGCATATGTCACGCTTCAGATAAGACCCAGGAATAGACTGGAGACAAGAGCTAGTTCTCAGAGATTTATTGAGTCAAGGAGCTGGCGGTGGCTGCGGGGATCAGGGCAGGTAGAGCAGGCAGGCGAAGGAAGCTGATGGGGTCCAGGCAGAGAGGCAAACAGGTAACAGGCAGGAGAGTGAGATCCAGGAGGCGGGGAAGGTGAGTTGGTCACGGACGGGTCCGGTAGAGATCAGAGACGACTTAACAATCCGGCGAGGACAGGATGTCAGGCCGCTGCTTAAGTAGGGCAGGAACCTGAGGGAGTGCAAATCACGTGCAGGTGTGTGTAATCAGCTCCTTTCAGCTGACACGCCTCCCGGCAACCTGCAGGTGAGAGAGAAAGGGGAAAAGGGCCGGAAACCAAAAACTGCAGCCACACCCAGGAAAAAAAAAAACACAAACACAAGGCAGTCTTCCACAAGTCAGGGTTAGGTCGCAGCAGGGGGGGGGGGGGGGGGGGGCGCGTGACAACATAACTAGTGAAACACAAGGAAATAAAAGCTGAAATTCGGAACTCTTGTCTCATACTCACCTTTGATCTTAAACCAAAATGTCTTCAGTGAACAACAAAAACAAAGGAATTTGCCTTACCGTTCCAGTACTTTTGAACCACCCCTATAGAAAGATTTGGCAATAACAACAAAATCATTTAGCTTTTATTTTAAGACAGTTATCATCCTAAATTGATTTTATTTATTATCATTATTATATTAATATATTTATTGTGTAAATGGCTTTTTAAAAGCAAAAAGCAAAGGAAGTCCAAAATTTGACATATAAAATCCTTTTTTTATTATTTAATACAAAATACTGAGCAGAATCCGACAGGCAAATTATGAAAAAGTCATTCAAACTAACTGATCTTAAAGGAAATATTACATTCATAAACAACTGATTATTAATAAAAGAAACCTTAAAAATTTTCTTTACAACAATTTCTTATTCATTTAATATAAACATCATTTATTTTTTAAATGTTCATCCAGGCTTTAAGATGAAAATTAATTAACAGATATAATCAGTAAATTTGCATTGGAGAATGAAATTATAAAAGTACATTTAAGTACGGTAATTAAGAACAGTTTTGAGGTATGTATCCAATTTATGATACTTTACACTTTTACTCCACAAAACATGAGGAAAATATTGTAAAACTTACTACACTACATTTATAATGCCTAACTACTAGTTATTGAAATTTCACATACAAAACAAAATCAACCTATTAAATATGATGCATTATTATCAATGATCGAAGACCTCACACACCCTCACGGGGAAGTTTCTGATTAGATCAGCTCATGTAATAGTTGTACTAAGCTCTCCTGGGATTTATATGTACTTATAGTTACTTAAGTTGTAATTTGCCCTGCAACAAAACTAACAGGAGAGCCACTCCTAAAGAGCTCCTTTAAAATACATGATAATACATGATTTCCCATGATAACGGGATAATTTTCTCGTGATCTCGAGATAACAAAACAGTAGTTTAACAGTGGTTTAAAGGTAATTTTACTATGTGTTTCTGTATCATGGGTTAGCTTAGAAGAGCACAGGACTCATCCTCTTGGAGTTGTTTGATCCTCACAGAAGTTTTTAATCTTTTTCATAATCCTCTTCAACAAAGTTCTTATGAACAGAGTGGAGATTGGTCCACTTCCATCAACCTATGGACTTTTCATTTCCCCATCATTCCCAGGCAGAGGACATACTGTGCTTCTCATTCAGGTGAATCCATTTAACGTTACACATTTCCTGACAGCTATTTCTGAACCTTTGAAATAGCCATCAGGAAATGTTTGATTGGATACCGCTGAATCTCTTCATAACGACTTTGTTGAAGAGGATAGTTAAAAAAACACACAAAAGAGGGAAAAAAAGGTTGTTGACAGCAGGAGTCAAATACACAATCCTTGGATTATGAGTCCTGTACTGAGAGAAAAACACGGGCCAACCCCTGTATTCAGCTATGGTTTGTTATCTCAAGATTCCGACATCGGAGTAAAATAAATATTTGAATGGATGGCCGCTTAGGGCTTCCGTAAAAATCAAATTTTCAACCACTGTGAATACATTTTTTTCAATAAATGTTCAAGATGAGGGGGTCGCTGTGGTTGTAAAGTTCAGTTTCACACTATTCACGAGGTTTCGAGGGAGGTCTGATGGCAGGTCACACCAGTTTAGCTCTTATCTGGAAAGATAAAAACAGTGGTGTTGAGATATGATCACAACATTCTCAGGTATGATCGTTCTGTGTACAGTGGGAGAAAAGGATTTGAGGAAGTAAACTAACTACAAATAAAATACAGATGTCGATCTTATCTTATCTAGATCGACCTGCTCAGCTCTGTTTTAATGGAAACAGTGGCTGCTTCTCATTTGTCCAACAAAATGTCGCTCACCAAAAGTCAAATTCTATGTTATGTTATGTATTAAATATGTCTGTCAGCACTAGAAATGGTTTGATGCTCACTTGTTGCTTTCCAAAACAAAACAAAAAAGTTTAATGCACCACAAACTCACCCTCATACTTCCTTTTACAAGCTTCCCCGTTCCATGAATTTAAACTATAGTTTTTATTATCTTGTGGCACATGACAAAACTTTCTGTCTGAGTCCCACACAGAAGAATTTATTTTAGGTCAGACAATGAACCGGGAAGTGACATGAAGACATTTCTGCTACAATGGTTATGACACTTTAAATTACAATTGTACAGTAAATTCAATTGTCACTTAAGCTTAAAAACTTAACTGTTTTTGCAGTTGATTTCAATATAAATAGTCAAATAAAAAGTACACACATACATAAAATCAAAGGCAGAAAAAACATTAAAACACATTTCTTTCCATAAATGTTCAAGGTGAAACAGCAGAGGTCGCTGTGGGTGTAAAGTTCAGTTTAACACTACTCACGAGGCTTAGAGGGAAGTCTGATGGCACTCCTTGACTCAACATTTCAGCTCTAACCTGGAAAGATAAAAACATTGTTGCTGAGATATGATCACTACGTTCTCAGATATGATGGTTCTGTGAAAAACGATTTGAGAAAGTAAACTAAACAGAGGTACATACAAATTATTTTGAGTTTATTTTGTGCTCCAAACCCCAAATACAACACAGCTGTTTATCCTTATCTCCCCTTTATGTTTTCATCTAGATCGACCTGCTCAGCTCTGTTTTAATGGAATCAGTGGCTGCTTCTCATTTGTTCAACAAAACTGACTGATGCTCACTTTCCGCTTTCCAAAATGAAACAAAAAAGTATAAAGCACTTCAAATTTGCCTTCATATTTCCTTGTACAAGCTTCCTCTTTCCATTAAATTAATTTAATTTAATCATTAATGATTAAAATGATTTCCGTTCTTCTGCTTCTCCCATTCTCCAGTTGATCCGGTCCAATAGAGTACCAGTTGGCATTGCAGCCCTATTTGCACGTGAGTTCAAGTTTTCCACATCAGATGAATTTACTTAAACTGTAAACTTTTTTACACTGGCTGCACGATAAAAATGCTTCATTTCAGTTTCACCACCTGTGACAGTCTCAGTGCTTCTCACTGTTAGAGATGTTAGCCAGCTGTTAGCCAGAGGAAAGACCCTGATGCAGCCTTAATAAATTGGCTCCTGTTAAAACACAACAACCAGTAAAACAGCTTCACTAAAGGTTTGGTATAAGTGGGACTCCAGGCTGGAATATTCTGTCACCAAAGATGCAACTTGTTGTTGATATTTCCTACAGTCCCAGTCTGTATATATATGTGTGCTGCGTAGTTTCTCTAGTCAACATATTATGTTAAATATAATCAGCAAAAAGTAAAAGGAGAGTTAACGCCCATGTTTTGGGCTACTACTACTGTTTTGCGAATATTAGGAGATAAACAGTTGGTGCTGCTAATTCTCCAGTTGGGCTCAAGTAAACAATTGTAGAAGAAGAGGACACAATAAGACAATGTAATTAAAAGATCACCAGTTAAGCCTCAAACAATGGAAAACCATGTGGACATTAACTGAGGAACTTTACAGTCTCCGCATAAGAATAAATGAATGTTGTGTCTTCCTCTGCCGCCATATTTCATCTCTTCAGTGGAAGTTTACGTCACAGGCTACATTCAAGTCATTATGATTTATTCACTAAGACTGTTTCCATTGCACTTTGTCACATTTAGTTTTTATTAATATACCAACTTGTTCACCTCACCAAAAACTTTTTTATAGTGTTATTCTGCTCAGGGCTTTTTAAGCCCAATTGAAAATTCAAACAAAACCAGGTCGTTGGAAATGCACTTACTCTTATTTTTTCTGTCAATTTTTAGAGTTTACTAATGTTGACCGTTGTCTAAATGCAGTTATCTGATACATTGAGAGGATTTCTGATTACATAAGAAGATACTGACCACTTTTATGATGTTATCAATGATGTAGTCCTCAGACAGTGAAGACAGAGCGGAAACCTTCATTTTCAGACCTACGAAAACTAGAAACACAGAAACTCAACATTATAATGCAGGTCAGAAGGTGCTGAAACTGAGTAATACAGCGGTCATAGACGAGGTCTTCATTTTCAGTTAAGTCCAATGCCATAGTTCTCACTTAGCTCCTTCACTTGTCATTTAGCTATGTATATGTCCATTAATAGATGATTACTGTGTGTACACTATAGTGTAAAACATCACCATGTCATACTCACTTGGGATCAGGTATGGGTCTGTAAACAGAAGTGAATTGCAATTGATTACTAGTGAACTTCATAATCCAGGAAATCAACAACTGAATCAAAAAAACAAGGGTTGTACTCACCATATCCAACATTCACAATCACACATCGAAGCTCCGACTGATACGTGACTGAACTGTAACAATAAATCCATATTATTTCACATATTCTTTTGAGATATTTTGAGATAGAAATATTTTCTTTCACAGGCCTGCACATGAAATTGGCTCAAATAAAACATTAATCAATACAATATGCACATTTCACCACATATTCTTATATACACATGTACACACCTTTTCAGAGATAAGGTATACTTCTATACATGTAATTCTCAAAAAGGGATGCTATTGCAGATGGGACACAACGTTTGGCCAAAGCCCTCCTCCATTTTAAAGGAATAGTGTGACATTTTGGGAAATATGCTTATTTGCTTTCTTGCTGAGAGTTAAATGAGAAAGTAAAGCAAACCAGTGGAGAGTCCAGAAATTCATTGCTGCCAGCCAAGAAACTGTCTTGCACATAAACCCCCTTTAAACCACAGTTTTTTTTTTTTACACTTTGTTTTTTATACAATTAACACAAGATATGTATAACATTTTAATTAATGAGTCTTAAAGGTTCTGACAGATGGATTTTTTTAAACTATGGACATTTAAACATCTCTTGGCTGTAGCTTCATACCATTCACCTTAAAGAAATGAGAGTGGAATTGATGTTCTCATTAAACTCTTTCAAGAAAGTGAAGTAATGTTCAGGGAAAAGTGACTGACTTGAAAACAGCCTGGACAACAAAACAGACGGGGTGGCTTTTTCCAGTTTGGTTTTCAGATGGCGTCCAACTCAGGATGAACTGTCCAGCTCCCAGTGTAGTCTGGTTCATATTGTACGGCCCGCTGAACAGCAGATCTGAAATCCTTTAACAAATAGGAGAAGTAAAGGCTTCACATGTTGAACAAGCATTTACAAACCCGCCCCCTTTCCGTGACAAGATTAAATTCTACTGCTGGGGGGTTTTCCCTCACCCGACATCTGACTCATCTTTCTTTTTAATGGTGTTTCCTTCGTGGCAGCTGCTGGCTGATTTTGGTAAGTCACATGGGCAGCTGATTCTTTTTCTTTTTTTGTAGTTGCATTAAAGTTGTCAAACCAGTATTAACCTTTAAAACTCAAAGCCTGTTATATTGAAAAAAAACAAGGTGCAAAGTCTACTGATGCCTTCACAAAATCTAGTGATGTTTTTCATGCATACTGCTGTTTATGCTTAACCTACTTTGTGTATTTCCTAATAGCACTACACAGTTGGTTCGGTCACATTTGTTGCGCTCTTGTCAAACCTGTTATACAAGATTCTTTCTGCAACTGAAAACCATGATGAATGAAAATCATCTGGGGCTGGAGCAGTGGATAAGACGCGTGGCTTTGGTGTGGGAGACCTGGGTTCAACTCCCCACAGTGACCCACTATTGTGTCCCTGAGCAAGACACTTAACCTCTAGTTGCTCCAGAGGTGTGCGACCTCTGACATGTATAGCAATTGTAAGTCACTTTGGATAAAAGCGTCAGCTAAATGAATAAATGTAAATGACTGTCTTATGTGTGGAAGTATTTATTATCTAACTGGAGAATCAGTAACCCATGTTTTTTTTAACATATTGTTTTATTTTTGACTTACATGGAGATATTTGCTGTTGCATTGATGCTGATTTCCAGGGTCTGATTGACAGGGGTGTACAGCTGAGCTCTGTTGTCTGGGGTTGGAGGCAGAAACTTGGGCAGATAGAGTCCCTCTGTGCAGGACGGCACCGCTCGATCCACTGGAACAATAGGAACAGTAAAAATTTCAGTCACACTGAAGTTTTATGAGGTTGGCAATGCAGGTTTGTTCCTCCATCACTCTGTGTTAGAAAATGCTAGCATGCAAAGCTAATATGTGAAACATAGATACCTTCTAAACATCAGCATGTTAAACAAGAAAATTGTCATTGCTATGTTGATCATATATATATATATATATATATATATATATATATATATCTTCAGCTAAACAACAACACACTGCCAAAACAAGGTCTTACCATTAAAAACAAACTGGAGAGGTATTTTGCTTATAGCGTTGTTGGTAGTTATCGTAGTCTGCACCCCGTCAGTTTGAGTCAGGGTGATATTCTGCGTGGGAAAGTCCTCCATCACCAGCTGTACAGCCCACGGACCTTCATTAATGCTATCGGTGGGGCTGAATGACAAAGTACAAGACTGCAAGAGGACAAAAAGGGACATGTATTTTCTTTCAGATAATGAAATACAAGACTCAACACTTTATTTGGAATAAGATTTAGTCCACAAGGCTATTTTAGGAATTCATACTACTGGAGTCACGTGGGTACGGCGAACAAGATGGCGGCTGATTAGGGAGCCTCTGCTCTCTGACACTACTTTTGAGACAATACCGAAGTATAGGCTCAAGTTATATTAAAAACTACCCTCGCCTCGAAGAGTAAACGGCTGGCGCATTTTGGAGAACTGAAACATTCAGATTCAAGCGAAATGGCCACATCGAAATATTTCAAAGACACGGGCTGTAAGGCTACCCGAAGAAGCCCTCCACATGAAGACGAAGGCTCAACAGGTGACCCACCTCCAGTCTGGTTTCTGTCTGTTTAAAGAAATCGCTAAAATGAGCAGCACGCTGCAGAGTGTTGCTACAAATGTCTCAACTATTAAAGAAACGACAACGGAGTTGAAAGCGACAGTGACGTCTATGCAACAGAGTCTGGCAGAAGTAGAAACACGCATTGAGCGCCTAGAGGAGACCCCAGAACGGCCACACGCAGATGGTGACAAGAGAAACAAGCTAGTGGACGCAATGTGAGACCGCATTCAAGCCCAGGAAAATCACAGCAAAAGGAACAACGTGAGGCTCATAGGCCTGAAAGAGACTTTTGGGACCAATGGGACATTGTTGAGCTGTGTCCAGAAAATTTCGGCGGAGGGGCTGGGGGTCCGGGCTGATGCCGAGTTTGAGGTGGCTTGAATTTAGGTTTTTGACTTTGGTTATGGTTTTTCTTTTCCGTATTTTGTACTGGAAACGTTCTTTTTCCAGGTTAAATGTTAGTGTTCATATTTTGTCAGAGTACAGGATTTTTAACTATGAGAACACAAAAGGCATAGATATAGTCCTACAGATGAACAGTGATTCAAACAGGAACAATGAGGTAGACATAGGTAGGGAGGGCCATTTGGACAAAGATGATGTAAAAATGTATTAAGTACATGTCATGGAATATTAATGGAAGTGGAAATCCAGTCAAACGACTTAAGGTACTGTCATATTTAAAAACCAATAAGGCTGATATAGTTTTCATACAGGAAACTCACTTGAATGAGGAGGAGGCAGCTAAATTCAAAACAGGCTGGGTGAGGTATGTTTTTCACAGCTCACTCTCAAGTTCACGAAACGGAGTGATGATCTTGGTTAACGGGGATACATTTTGTGTTGCTTAAAGAAGTTAAAGATACTGAGGGGCGAATGATATGTGTCCAGGCATTAATAGAAGGTATGCAGGTGATACTATGTAATATTTATGCCCCTAATAAGGGAGACCCACACTTCTTTCATAAAGTCAATAGGGTTTTAGGGGAGATGGATGGGCAAATTATCTTGGCAGGAGGCTTTAACCAAGTGATGGACCCTATATTAGACAAAAGTCAGTTTAAAGGTCCACTGATGACCAAAGATAGGGAAGCAATTCATATGTTAAAAGGTGACATGGCGCTTGTGGATGTCTGGAGGCTTACTAACCCACGTAAGAGGGAGTACACGTTTTTTTCACACTGTCATAAGTCACACTCCAGAATTGATTTTTTTTTATTGCAAGCCCCTTAGTAAACAGTGTAGTTAGTTGCAGTATAAGAACTATTGCTATAACAGATCATGCAGTGGTGGAATTATGTATAAACACAGAATTGGACATTGGAAGGAGGACTAGATGGAGAATGAATTCATCATTACTACAGGACAAAGACTTCAGGTCATCGCTGGGAGAGGATTTGAAATCTTTCTTTGACTTAAACATTGGCAGTACTAAGGACATTGCAACTGTCTGGGAGGCCTCTAAAGCGTATATAAGAGGGAAACTAATTGCTCGCTCGGCTCAAAAGAAAAAAAGACAGCCTAAACAGAATCAAAGAATTAGAAGGTTAAATTAAATTAAAGGAAAATAATTTAGAGCAAAACCTTCTCAGAATCACAATATCAGGAACTTTGTAAGCTTAAGTTTCAGCTGCACGAAATCTTTAACAAGAAAGTAGAATATTCTTTATACAGATTAAAAACAAATTTTTATGAAGGTGGGGAAAAAACTGGGAAGATACTAGCTAGACAAGTGAAAGAAAAGGACTCCTCGAATATAATCTCAGCCATCAAACAGGGAACTAAATTAGTAACCTTGACAAAAGATATAAATGAGATATTCCAACAATATTACAAGAAACTATATACATCAAGAGTATCCGGCAATGAAGATCAAATAAATTCATTCTTCTCTAACATTAATATGCCTAAGTTTAACCTTGATCAAGCAAGGAAGTTAGAGTCATCTATAACGGTGGCTGAAATAAGGAAAGCTGTGTCATTAATGAATACTGGGAAATCACCAGGATACGACGGATTTCCTGTAGAATACTATAAAGAGTATATAGACATTCTTGCTCCAGTCTTGGTGAAGGTGTATCAGGAGGCTTTTGAAAAAGGCCACATGCCGCCGACATTTAATGAAGCTTTAATATCTCTGATCCCAAAAAAAGACAGAGATATAACAGATCCATCTATTTTTAGACCCATTAGCCTGCTTAATCTAGACTTTAAAATATTGACAATATTGACGAGCTCTACGGCTCCAACAAGTTTTACCAAATATTATACATCCCAACCAAGCAGGCTTTATGAAGAACAGATCCTCATCGGACAACATGAGGAAATTAATACATCTGAAGTGGTTTGCATCATACAAAAGTGCGTCAATAGTTGCTATTTCTCTAGATGCCGAAAAGGCTTTTGACGAAGTGGAATGGAGTTAACTCTCTTTTGCGCTCTTTCACGTTTTGGTTTTGGCCCCTATTTCTCTCAATGGGCAAAGACATTATATAAAGAACCAAAAGCAGCGGTAATTACCAATGGAGTTATATCACCCTTTTTCAGCCTGTCAAGAGGCACCCGCCAGGGCTGCTCTTTGAACCCCCTATTGTTTATAATTTGTCTAGAAACACTGGCTGTTAGTATCAGAAACAATGGGAGTATTAAGGGAGTAGAGGTTGGGGGAGAGGAACATAAATTGCTGTTATATGCTGACGATATTTTAGCCGTAGTGACAGACCCTGAGGTGTCCTTACCACATCTGATGGATACTATCCAGTCCTACTCAAAACTCTCAGGTTACATAATCAATTGGAATAAATCCGAAGCTATGCCCATGACTTCCACATGCCACCGTTACATGGTGGAAAGGCTTAAATTTAAGTGGGTACCAGAAGGTATGAAGTACCTTGGAATTAAACTCAGTCAAGACTTAGAAGAGATGCCTTTTTGTTAAACTTTAATCCAGTGTTGCAAAAAATTAAAACAAATTTGGAAAAGTGGCAAAAGATAAAACTTATCCTATGGGGAAAAGTCAATATTATTAAAATGATAGTAGCACCTCAATTTAATTACTTAGTTATGATGTTGCCAATCACGATACCGCCCGCCATCTTTAAGAAGTATGATAATATAGATAAACAGTTTTTATGGGACGGGAAAAGAGCAAGGATAAAACTTAGTAAACTTTGCGCCCCCATGGAGAAAGGGGGATTAGGTTTACCTGATCCAAGATTATATGGGGTATCTTTTGAAATGGTTAAATTAGCCAAATATTGGAAAACAACAGATAGCAAGTTAGACTGGATGGAGATTGAGAAGGAGTTCTGTTCACTATTTAGTCCAAAGGAGCAACTGTCTCAACGAAGTAATACAACAAACCCAATTCTTGTTCACTCTAGGGAAGTGTGGGCTTAGGTGCACAAAATGTATAAAGTGTCGCAATATGTGCAGACATATGCTTCATTGTGGTTTAATCCTGCCATACATATTGGTGAAACGTCAGTGTATTGGAAGCAGTGGAGTTCAAATGGTATATGTATTATAGGAGACCTGTACAAAAATGGGCAATTCATGTCTTATGAAGAATTATCGCTTCAATTTAAACTCGAAGGCAAACAACATTTTTGGAAATGCATACAAATTAGGGACTGTGTAAAATCTCAAATTGGTAATTGTTCAGGAAATGATATTCTGGACTATCTGAATGCGCCACGCGAACGCTGCACGGCTTCACAATTCTATAAACTAACAAACTACTCAGTAAGGGGTGAGTCCTCTAATGTGAAATTGTTATGGCAAAGAGACCTGAGTACGAGCTTTACACAGGAAAAATGGCTGGGTATACTAGCAGACTGTGGAAAGTATGTAAGAGAGGCAAGAGAGAAGTTCACACAATATAAGATCATACATAGATACTATCATACCCCTGTGAGATTATATAGAATGAAACTGATGAATGACAATATGTGTTGGAAGTGTAAAACAGAGGTAGGAACTTTTCTTCACTGTGTATGGGAATGTGGATTGGTGAATCCATTTTGGGTTAAAGTTGTGGACTTCTTGAGTAACTGGTCAGGCTCAGCGATTCCTCTGACTCCTGCTGTATGTCTACTAGGGGACAGATCACAAATACCGAATATCTCAAAGGGAACCTTTTCTGTCATCATGGTGGGCTTGGTCATAGTTTCCAGAGTTATTTTAAGACACTGGAAAACCGCTGTATCTCCTAATCTGAGAGACTGGACTAATGCAATGGTGGAGACCACATCCTATGAGTCTATGCTTCATAAACTGTCAGCTAACAAGGAGAATGGGATGATCTCTTGGGATCTTTTTTGGACGTACACAAGGACTAATGAAAAATCTACCTAAGAAATTGGAGGCTAAATATAGCTCCATTCCTTTTTTACTTTTATTCTTACTCTGTGACATGTCGGAATATGTTTATGCCAAGACTCTGTAATGCTCAATCCTGTACTCACATACTCTGCCTTTAAGAATTCAATAAAAATTTAAATGAGGAAAAAAAAAAAGAAATTCATACTACTCCTAATATTCTTCTTCATTATGTTTCTCCAGGTCATCATGCCATCCCAGTTTGATCGTTTTGGCCCACTTGTCAAAGGTTGCTCAGTGAGCCAAGACTAGAAACCTACACACACACACACACACACACACACACACACACACACACACACACACACACATACACACACACACACACATACATGGATATACTGAACAGTTCTTGAACTGGAATAAAATAGGTGCAAACATATGTATACCTGTTTGTGAATATATACACACAGACATTTCATACACACTGACCTGCTGACGAACACACCATATTGTGTTGCTTACTGAATTTACTTAAGCAAAACATTTAGCATTATTTACAGACTATGTGCAGTCTTCCTTTTTTGTCACAGGTTGTGAAAATTAATTAAAAGAAGAAGTACTGTGGATTTTGGCAACTCACTGTTGAGAGGTTGAGAACAGATGGCGGTGTGCATTGGTCACACTCTGATAGTGTTGAGTTTGCGTATCTGCATTTAACTTGGTCTCCATCAGGGTCAAACGTCAACAGGTTGAAGTCTCTAGGACAGTTTGAAGGAACTCTGGATGGGGGCAAAATAAAACACAGAGTTTTGAATGTTGATACTAGATCTGCAGATTCACTTCACTTCAACTGGCTGATGTCACTGAAGACAATGAGGTAAACATAACACTCAACATTTTCAGATGAAAACATCATGATCATGTTTTTTCAAACCCCTTTCATCTGACCGTGTTGTTTACAGCAAGTAATTAGACTCTGCAAGGTACTGAGGGTGCTTATGTTACATTTATTCCAACATGTGACATAAAATAGTTTAGCAAAAAGATAGAAACACAAACAGTGAGGAGGCTTACCTCACAACTGCCAGTATATTGGTCTGGGGTGATCTGTTGGCCTGGTTGGTGTCTGACCGGTTCCTCAGCTCCACCAGAGTCACAGCTTTCACTGATCCGATGCTATTTCTGATGAAATTTATCCAGTCACCACCGCTTAACCTTCAGTGGGAAAGTTAGTTTTTACTGTGCTGCTCAGATCCTCTGTGTACACGTACATTGTTGGTATGAACAGCTGACTTGCAAGATAATTACTCCATAAAGTGTGCAATGGTGTGAGTACATTTACTCAAGTACTGCACTTAAGTAAAGTACTACTTAAATTTGAAGTACTTGAACTTGAGTCTTGGTGTTTTTTGTTGTTGTTTTCATTCCACTTTATACTTCTAGTGCTCTACATCTCAGAGGTAGATATTGTACTTCTCACTCCATTACATTTTTCTGACAGCTTTAGTTACTAGGTAATAAAAAAGAATATTATATTTATGAAATAGGACCTACCTAACAGTGTATACAAATACAGATGAAACAAATTATGGATTAATTCATCAGTTGACAGACAGAAAATTAATGTGAATCTATTTTGCTAAATGTTTAAGTCATTTTCCTTATAAAAACATTTCATGTTTGCAACTTCAGAAAAATTAGGATTTGCTGTTTTTCTTTTAAATTATTTTAATAATTTACTTTTTCTTTTTTTAATACTTTTGAGGTTTGGACAATTTATTGGACAAATCAAGCACTGTGAAGGTGTCACTTAATGCTCTGGGTAATTGTGACAGCATTTCTCATTATTTTCAGATTTTTTTCAAACCAAACAATCATTCGATTTATGGAAAACAGAATCAGCAGATTAATCCACAATGAAAATAATAATTAGCTGCAGTCTAACGCAAAATATTTGACAAGCTCCACCTCCAACAACAGTAAAATCCTGCTTTAACATTTAAACATTAAAGCATGAGTAATAACAATCTAATGTTATAATATACAATAGTGTATCAGTCACAGTGGATATTTTACTACATCGAGGACTTTTGCTTTTAAGTACATTTTACTGATTATACTTCCGCTATTTTGGAAAATAAGATTTTGATTTTCTCACCGTTCAGAAATTATAATGACAGTGAAAGAAATTAAAGTGACAGAGAAATTACATAATGTAATGTTTTTCTTGCATTGTCATGGTGCACTTACAACAGCTGAAAGGGAGCGTTGGTAGGACCCTCGAGAGAGATGATTCCATCTCTCTGACACCACTCAAATGGGCTGCTGTCCTTAGTGACACTGTGTGCAACTTCAGAACTCACAGTCCCACAATTATTGCTGGGGCATGTCCACGAGGTAATGTCTAGGCTACAGTGGAAGTTCAAATTATACTGAAGCTCCACCTGCGGCATTACAATGAAGATGTGTTACGGCACCAGTGACAACATCCATGATACAAAAAAATGGTTTACCGTGGTGCTAATTTGGGAGACAATGCTACTTTGAAGACATGTATTTGCATTTGTCTTTGATCCTGCTGATACACAAGACTTGATAAAATCTATATAGTTTTATTGAGATACCTAAAAGTGTTATTTTCACATGGGCAGGTTCCATACACAGACAACAAGAACCACATAGAAATCTGTTTTCCAAAAAGGATACACCCTTTAATGTACATTAATTATTTTAAAAATATATAGAAAATCACTTTTGTTGCATTCTTCTTAATTCTAAGGACTTATATACAGTCTTTACTGCACTTTCTTCTGTATTACCAATGTCCCAGAAATACTGTTCACTTTTGTCACACTGTCAAATGTTGAAAGATGAATAAATTGGATTAGAACATAACTTTACGTACCGTCATGGATCCATCTGCGTTAGTGTTTTTTGGGTAGTAAGTCATCACTGTTCCATGATAATGAGAAGCCTGGGAGCTGCAGACCAGCAGCAGCAGCAGCAGAGGGAGCGGCATAATGCATGTGTTAGTCTCTCACACAAAGACAGTTGAATACCAACACAAACACATCTACCTCCAAAGACAGCCTCTCCCTCTGTCTCTTTACCTTTACATATTTGGCTTTCTTCTACACAGATGATTGATCTCAACAACAATTTAAACAAACAATCCACCAGGAAATGGTTCGGTATGAGGAAAGGTTTCTTGCTACTGATACAAGATTAGGATTGATTGAGTGCAATGAATGCAGTCCCTTTAATCAATTGTTTATTGGGAAGAAATTTTATCTATTTATAAACAGAAGATTTGAAACAAATAGAATAGATTGTATTTAGATATTTTCCTAAGTGCTACAACTTTCAATTGTCCACCAAGCATAGTGTGTATCAAACATTGTAAACACAAAAGGTCGGTCATCATATTACTTTAATTTTAATCCCTCAAAAATTGTATCCTTAATAGATTCAGTTTCAATGTGTAAAGGAAGTCTAAAGCGTCAGGTGGGAGAGAGTGACTATACTCTCCTTGAGCTTATTCCGTTCCGAAATGGACTGTCAAATTATTGTTATGGTACTCAATATGGCTTGGTTGTCCATAAGTTATTTAATGGGGAAAAACAGAAAATTGAGTAAATTGAGAAAGTTTACACTTTCCCACTTTTTACTGAAAATAATTGTTTTGCTATAAAACCCATCGTGTGAAAGCAGAAACAAAAGAGGGGGATATTTACATTTTAACAAAAAACACACTCAAGTCATCAATCTCAATTTCAAGTTATCTTACTCCTGAAATGGCCTCTGACACCAAATCTGAAAATTCCAGTGCCAACAAGATCCACTTAATTCAACCAACCCCATCCTCTACTTGTTTTGGTGTTGTTATGTTGTCAAGTGTTATCCAATTAGTTAGGGGCCAAGCCCAAGTAGGCTGGAAACCCGCGAATGCAAGGCATCGCCTTGCATTAGATGGTAACTGCCTGGGGCGCAAAACTCAGGCACCAAAGTTGACCCTAATGTGCCCATAGGTGGCGCTGTATTGCAGATTAAAGACGTAAAAAAAAAATCCCATTGACTTACTTGCATTTTATATCTCCAGTACCACAGGTCCGATTGACACCAAATTTGGGTGAATTCTTCCCCATGGGCCCCTGATGACCTGAAAAATTTGGTGCAATTCGGCTTATAGGTGGCGCTATAATAGAAGCTCAAATACCGTGGGAAAATCCCATTCATTTGAAAATCCCATTCATTTGAATCAGCACAAAACGTGGTACGGACCATCTCTGGACCAAGCTCATACAGGCATGTGCTCCCCAGATCGATAAATGACAAACTGTTCCACTTATAAGCTAACACATCTTTGCACAAAACACCAAAAACAGGAAGTCATGTCATATCTTAGGTTTACCAAACTTTGGGACCTTATGTGGCATGACTTCCCAAAGGCCTTTATAAAATTTGGTGTCGCTATTATTAACTGCAAGTCCCTTTCATTTCAAACTCTGGCTGTTTATTCTCCACAGGCCCCCGGATCCACAGCGGGGCGCCTGGGTCAACACGCGCGCACTCCACGGGGCGAGGGGGGCGGCTTGCGCCGGGGGGCTTGGACCCCGCTTACAACTGCTTGCAGTTCTAGTTGTCTTTGTGATTTGTGCCCCAACAATGAACCACTCAATGTCTGGAAAGACTCAGAACCTGGCTGGCTTGATCATCCAGTTTTATAGAGGGTGTTGAAAAAGTGTTGCCGTGACAAAATGTAAAACAATCAAGAAAATCCTGTTTCAGTAATGCGTAATCTATGAGGTTGTGTCTCACAACTTAAGAATGTTTTCAAGCTGTCAAATATATTTTTCTGTCAATCTCAATGATGGCATGTAAAAGTAGAATTACAACATTCTTGCAATGTACCAGGAACAAATGTGGATGCAACCTGTCTGTCTGAACAACGCCCTACGAAGAATAAAGTGATGTGACATCTAAAAAAAATTTAATATCGAGGAAAAGTTCATTGCGCCAGATGCAGACTCAGAGATTAAAGCTCAGGAAACCTTTGCAGGTGTTTTGAGTTAATTAGCTGATTAGAGCTCTTCTCAGGCTTTTGAGCTCCATGAGCTGTAAACTGGAAACAATCACTTCACCACTTATCTGGGGTTGGGTAGCAGAGGCAGCAGCTCTAGCAAAGGGCCCCTTCCCCTTTTAGTCAGCCACATTAGCCATCTCTGACTGGGGGAGACATTCCCAGGCCAGTGTAGAGACATAGGGCCTGATTTACTAAAGGTTTCCGTGAGTAAAAACATGTGCAAACTTGATATCACCCGCAAATTAACACGTAAACTAATCTACTAATGGTGTGCACGCAGAATGACTTTTTTTAAAAGCGCAAAATAGCACCTGTTGTTCATTTAGTACTTTTGCCTTAATGAATATGCAATTTGGGGCGGTTCGATTTTATTGTGCCAAGTAAGGCTGTGAGGGTAACATGTATTTACCACACGCAATGTGATCTACCAAGCCGAAAAGCAATTTCATGTGATTGCAACAGCATCTGTATTTAATACATTTTGAAAGGAAGGTGCAAACCAGCAAGTGTTGCACAGAGATTGCTGCTGTTATCGTTGTGAGAAGGAGACACAGGCGTAAAGAAAGAAGACGTAGAGAAAGGGTTTTTGGCATGACATACATATACACATATATATATACATATACATGGAACATATAACGCGCACATTGCGCCTCTCCAGCCATGCAATTTTGGAGCTGTTTGCTAAACTAAGGGCTGATATGGAGCCAGTTACAAGAAGGAGTCACGCAATACCTGCCATGCCCAAACGTCTTGCAACTCATGCATTTCCTCGGGTCATTTCAGCATACTGTAGCTAATTTGTAGTGATAAATTATGGCCTATGTGCAGAAAAGCAATTGTAAACAGTAACAAGTTTAAAGGAATGATTAGTTTGATAAAATGTTGTCGACAAAGCTCACATACTTAATAGGCACTGCCAATACTGAGTGCAAAATTTCGGGGGAATTGGAGTCAAATTATTACTTCCACAGCTGTTTAAAACAAGGTTCAACTTTTGAGTAAATAAAGACAGGAAATGTGGGGTGACTTGACATTTAGACTCAGTAAAGATAAGAGACTCTCGAGGAAAGAGCAAATTTCTTTCGCTTTGCCAAAGAGTGTTTGGTAACACAAAGGACAGAGACAGACTAGAAGAGTGGGGGAAGCATATATAATCTAAATTAATGTATAATATCTAATGAAATGTATGCAAATTGTAACACAGAATGTAAAGTGGACCTGTGAACCCACATGTTTACAAAGAGGAGGCCTCAGTTAAAGCCTTACAAGAGTATATGATCAGGAACTGTTTGGAATGTGAACTTAAGGTTCAGATGTACTCACTATTATAACTACATAGCAATATGTTCATCCTTTAATGTGTGTATTTGAATTGAATTTAAAGTGATCATTTGTGTTTTTATCAAATTTATAAGGTCACTGTAGGCAAACAGCTTAGAGGCTGCAGGAAACTGGGAAGGGTCTCCTTAAAAGGAGAATTTGATCCAAAAGGATATTGCACAAGGAAAACAGGGTGATACTTACAGTGTGGAATAATCTGCCTCTCTTAAATTTCTGAAATAAAGAGTCCAATCCAGACGTCTTTTAAGGGTTTTATTCTTTGCAAAGGGTCAGACAGATATACAGAGTGCAAACAGTCTGCAGAGTGTAAGACCAAGAGCCAGTGAAGAAACAGGTGAATTTACACTGTAAGGGTATTACGCGGCTATCTTAGGGAGGAAGGGAGTAGGGACCAACTGTCCTGAGATGAAGGCCTATCAAGGACAGTCTGATAAGAAAACTCTCTAACGAGCATCTTTCCCATGGGAAACTTCTTCTAGCTGTAACATAATAAAATAATCAAATACCACGCAGTGAAACAGTGGTCTATTCTGATGAAGCATGTAGGGTGAAACAGTAAACACAGTAAAATATCAAATTTCCATCACACATGAAAGAAAACAATTTATGTCACATCAGTTCATACGTTTTTATATTTAAGGTGATGGCGCATACCCTCTACAGCCCTTTCGTTTGACACCTGTACTGAACCCGACCTCACCAAAAGAGCATAGGTACAATGTGGTCCATATTCGCACAAGAAATATTGTTGAGTGAACTTTCGGGGTCCTGAAGAGCCGGTTCCGTTGTTTGGACCGCACTGGAGGAGCACTCCTGTACAGGCCAGAAAAGGTTGCCCAGATTGTGGTTGTCTTCTGCTGTCTGCACAACATTGCCGAACAGCACGGGTTAGAACATGATGACATGGAAACTGAGGAGGAGGATGACCACAATGACCAAAATGAGGGGCAGCAATCCAATGCTGCAGGATTGCAGACACGCACCAACCTTATTCAAAATAATTTCACATGAGCCTTTTGGGGTAGGCTATGTATTCATTTTTCTTTCCATTCAATAATCTTTAACACTGAAAGCACCATGATTAAAGATATGTATTGTGGTCATTCTTATCCAAAAAAAGCCTAGCCCTTCTTCGACACCTCTAGCCAGAGCATTTATGGACATGCTCAGAGCAGTCACAGCGCTGACGAGTTGCCTGGTGTGAGCTGCAATGGCTCGAGCTTGAGAGGAGACCGCTCGCATCTCCTGTACAATACGCAATGTGCTATTCTCAAGGACTGCAGACTGCATCCTCTGTTCCCGCAGCCACTCCTCATAATCGGGGCGCTTTGCAGGCTGTTGATGGGTGCTGGTTGACGGCTGATTTGAGGATTGGGGTGGGGATGGCCGAACTTCTGAGGAAGACTCTTCACATACAGTATATAGAAATGTTAAATGGAATTAAACAGCTACACAATGATTATTAAATTACACATTCTCTAAAATACATGTGTGTTTTTCTTATTTTGTGCCTACCTGCTGGTGGTTCTAAGGTATCATACCCCGGTATTCAGTGATCTACTGATCGCAGAAATTGAGCTACACTTGCTCCTCAATACCTGTTAGAGTTCCGATACGAAGCGGGTGGTGTTTTAATGTGGTTAAAAGCAAGCCATCAGAGGTCAGCTAACCGCACTTATACAACCGTCACTGGGTGAACTGACTAAAAAGCCGTCACTGGATCCTGGGTGAATGTCTGTCGTATATCCAACTTAAAACTAACTTCACCGCGGTGTGAAACAACCAGGGTTTGGGTGGGAGGGATGTGAGATCTGAGAAACGGGAGTGAAAACGGGTTAGACAGCTTATATATGTGAGTGCATGTGATTGGATTTGAGAGGCATAGGTGGATGAAATGACTGAGCGCAGGTGGTCGAATAAGTGAGAGGAGCGTGGTCCTGTTTCATTTTTCGCTTACGGTCAGGCTACTTTCCCTCCTGACTATCCACGGCGGAAACCATTAAAACACCACCCGCTTCGTATCGGTGATTAACCATGTGAATGGATGACAACGGCCTTCTGAACCTTCCAGTAGGTGCAGTAGGGCCCTTCTGACCCATATCTATGGGGCTGATAACCACTGATAACGCCCATTCAATCGAGTGATAACATTCGGGTGCAAACACGCAAAACCCTCATTTAAATACTCCCACCTCCATTGTGTTTGCACCTGTTGTCATTTGCGCAATAATTCTTAGTTATTCTTAAAATTGCACGTGCAATATTTTAGAGTGCACCCGCAATTTAGTACTCTTTATTCAGGATGTTAGTAAATCAGGCCCATAATCTCTCCACCTAGTCCTGGGTCTTCCCTGAGGCCTCCTCCCACCAGGACGAGCCAGGAACACCTCCCTAAGGACATATCCAGGGGACATCTTTACCAGATGCCCAAACCACTTCAGCTGGCTCGTTTCGAGCAGCTTCTGTACTTAGAGTTCCTCATAGATGACTTGGCTTCTCACCCTACCTCTAAAGAAGATGCCAGCCACCCTCCTGAGAAAATCCGTTTTGGCCGCTAAGCCATGATCATCAAGAATAAAACAAACAAACAAGTCTTGAAACTATTCACTTAATTATTTCATCTAGAATATCTGAATATCTGTAATTAAATTACAGAAGAAAATTCCCCTTTTCATGGCATCTATGAAAATATTAGCCTTATTGTTTCAGCTCGGCTGTGTGTCAGCGTTTCCATATTAAAAGACACTGAATAACCGTATCTACCTCATGTCTGTGAAGATTCTCAGTCATCCAGGTCATAGTTATCCAATGAAGGTTAAAGTCAAGGGCAACTGGACTGTGTGTGTGTGTGTGTGTGTGTGTGTGTGTGTGTGTGTGTGTGTGTGTGTGTGTGTGTGTGCACAGGGTCCTCCTATCTTAAAGATGATTATAGTCAATTATAGCCACAAAATGAAGCTGAGCTGTCTGGTCCAGCAGCAGCCATATCAATGTTTGCATGGTAAAAAGTAGAATTACAACATTCTTGTGATCTGAATGAATGTGGAGGCTGCTTGTCTGTCTGAACCATAGACTTTTTAAACAAGGCCTTAGAAAGAATGAGGTGAAGTGAAATCCCTACAAGACTATGCCTTCCCACAGGACCTGATAAATCTGTCAAATACAACAAGAGTAACAACTAAAAAACAAAGGTTGGGCTGTATAGTTTAGGGCAAGTAGAGTTGCCAGATTTTTGTTTTTAAACCCAGAACTTGTTTAGTTGTCATAAAAAATTGATTGTAAAGAATATAATTAAACTAAATGGATAAATATTAACCTTGTGTCCCTGCCTTTACTGCTTGGTCCCTCACACCAATCATTTTACTGCATGTCCTTCTTCTATTCTACTGTATGTATTTTACATGTTTGAATGAAGTCAGTTTTACATTTTTCATTCTCTTTTTTCATTTGTCTTACTCCATCTTTTTAAATTTTTCATAGGCTATGATGCTGCAGTTCTTGAAATGGAAAGATAATGATGCATGTAGGCCTGTAAATGCAGTTAATTATAAATAATAATTATGATGTTTTTATTATATAGTTATAGATCTTTTCTTGTACTCAGGTCTCTCATGGAAATTAGTTATCAGTATCTATGGGATGAAATAAAAATTACACTGTAGACAACTGTAGAATAGATCCATACTATTCAGCAACCCTCTGCCGATGAGCACACACTTGGTTGTAATCTTAAAACTGCACCAAAAATAAACTTATTCATTTAATACAATAAATATTTTTTAGATGTTCATCCTGTCCAAAGCTTTATGATGACAATGAAATAACAAATGTCATCATATTGATTTGGTGATTTTGCATTGGCATATTAATTTTTTATTTTTTTATTTACTTCAGTATGGTACTATTTTGAGGTACTTGTACTTAAATGTATCCAATTTATGCTACCTCACAACACATGAGGAAAATATTGTAATTTGCACTTCACTACATTTATTTAACTACTAGTAACTAGTTATTTAGATTTTACTTCGTATCAATGTATTAAATATGATGCATTATTATTGACGAAAGACCTCACATACCCTGCAGTAGGTGTTTTCAGTTGTGTTGCGGATTAGACCAGCTTAGTTTGGAAGTGTGCAAACTCTGTTGGGATTTACATGAGGTCAATTTATAAGAATAATAAAATTGTAATTTTCCCTGCAACAAAACAGGAGAGCCCCTTAGGTCCTTTAAAATATACTTTATTATCTTGATGCACAACACAAACACAAATTTATTTTAGGTTAGACAATGAACCAGGAAGTGACATGATATGAAGACATTTCTGCTGTCATGGTTATGAGAGTACTGTAAATTACAACTGTGCAGTAAATAAAATTTTCAATAGTCACTTAAGATTAATTTTACTAAAGAGAATTTGTTTCTGCAGTTGGCTTTAATATAAACAGACAAATAAAAAGTAAACATTGGACATAAAATCATGTCTGAACATATTTTTATATTGGTCAAGAGGTTTCGAGGTAGGTCTGATGGCACTCCTTGACTCACCAGTTTAGCTTTAATCTGTAAAGATAAAAACAATGGTGTTGAGATATGATCAGGGGTGGAAATTAACTTTTTGGCTTACTTACCTGGTGAGCCTGGGACTGGTAGATGAAAAGATCCACCGGCCAAGCATATTTTGCACCGGCCAAAGTAGTAGGCTACTTTTAATTGAGATAACATGGTATTCTGTCAAATACAAACTTAAAGAAGACACCAGATTGAAATTTGAAGCTAAATGAATTTATTGCTATTAAATGTACTTAGGACACAACAGTAAATTGTTTTATAAACTTATTTTTTGCACCCCCCGTCCCCTTCCCCTCCTCCCACTACATTCATTAAACTTTCATAGAAAGTGTATCAATACTATAGGTATAATATTAATTGTAGGTTGTTTTAATTTATTAAATCTTTTTGTAAGAATAACCAACCCGATCTCACCTCAGGCGTCACATGTACACGCTTTGGAACAACCGTGGCCAATGTATGCAAAACGGGTGGGCTGTCAACTCCTTAAACACAAACATAGCTAGCTTGTTATCGACTGGAAGCGCTACTAGCGTTTCTGGTCACCCCAGGGTGTCATACACATACGAGACCTGGATGCGTCTCATACACACAAACCTGGGGGCGTATCCTACACAAAATTAAACTGTTATTCATTTTGCTTTCATACACTGGCAGCATGATACAAATGCTTCATTTTATTTTCACCACCTGTGACAGTCTCAGTGCTCCTCACTTTACAAGAGGAAAGATCCTGACTCCCAGCTTTAAAAAAGAAGCACCAGCAAAAACTCAACAAGGGGGCTAAAGATAATCAGCAAAAGTAAAATTAGAATTATTGCCCATTTCCATTTACTACTGTTATGCAAATATTAGAAGTTGGTATATCAAGATAAACAGTTGGTGCACCTAATTCTCCAGTTGGGTTCAATTAAACCATTGTAGAAGAAGAGGACACAATGAAATGACATAATAAAAAGGAACACCAGCCCTATCCTCGAACGATGGAAAACCATGAACAAATTAAATTAATCGACTAATGTAACATTCTCCTCATAAGAATACACAAATCTTGTGTTTTCATCTGACGCTATTTTTCATCCCATTCAGTAGACGTTTAAATCATATACTTCATTTAAGTCATTATGATTTATTCGCTAATTTCCATTGCACTTTGTCCCATTTAGTTTTTATTGATACACCATCTTGTCTAACTCAACAAAAACTTTCTTTTGTAATGGATGGAAATGCAGTTCTCTAATGTTGACTATTCTGCATCTGCTTGCCCTCTAGGTTGGTTGTAGTTATCTGATACTTTGACAGAATTTCTGATTACAAAAGAAAATACTGACCAGTTGTATGATGTTTTTCCTGATGTCGTCCTCAGACAATGAAGACGTAAAGGAGATTTTTATTCTCAGACTTCTGACAACTAGAAACACAGTAACTAGCATTATAATGCAGGCCAGAAGGGTGCTTAAACTGAGTAATACAGCTGTCTTAGACAAGGTCTTCATTTTCAGTGTCAAGTTCAATATCATTGTTCTCCCTTAGATCCTTCACTTATAATTTAGCTTTGTATATGGCTGTTAGTAGACGATTACAGTATTCAAAGTGTAGTGTAAAAGATCACAATTTGTCATACTCACTTGGGTTCCAGATTGTGGTTCCAGATGTTCTGGTAGTTGTTGAAAGAATGGTGGTACTTAGTGAAAATCCTATAGTGACGGTGTCTGCCCCCCGACCATCGAAATTATTTAAAAAGGTAAACAGAAGAGGAGCTGTGCATAAAAACCTCATAAAAATTAAAACCACAAGAGCAATAGTGCAAACGAATAGGAGAGTTAAATGTGGACTCTTAAACATCAGATCTCTCTCTTCTAAAGGTGTACTAGTAAATGAACTAATATCAGATTATGATATTGATTTATTTGGTCTTACTGAAACCTGGCTGGGTGATGGAGAATATGTTAGCCTAAATGAATCCACCCCTCCCAGTCATATTAATACTCACATTCCTCGAGGCACAGGCCGAGGAGGTGGAGTTGCAGCTATCTTCGACTCTAGCCTACTAATCAGCTCTAAACCTAAACTAAACTATAACTCATTTGAAAGTCTTGTTCTTAGTCTTTCGCACTCAAGTTGGAAATCACTGCAACCAATTCTTTTTGTTATAGTGTACCGAGCACCTGGCCCGTACTCTGAATTCTTATCTGAATTTGCAGAGTTTTTGTCAACTTTAGTCCTTAAAACGGACAAAGTTATTATTGTAGGAGATTTTAATATTCATGTGGATGTTGAGAATGACAGCTTCAGTACTGCGTTTATCTCTTTGTTAGATTCCATCGGCTTCTCTCAGAGTGTTCATGAACCAACTCACTGTTTTAACCACACCCTCGACCTTGTTTTGGTGTATGGTATTGAAATTGAACATTTAGTGGTGTTCCCACAGAATCCCTCTTTATCCGACCACTGTTTGATAACTTTTGAGTTTGTATTGCTGAACTACTCGCCATTGGGCAAAAATTTCTATACAAGATGTCTGTCTGATAGTGCCATAGCTAAATTTAAGGATGCGATTCCATCAGCTCTAAATACATTATCTAGTCACAAAGTAACGGAGGACTCCTATGCTAATTTCAGTCCCTCCCAAATCGATCATCTTGTTGATAGTGCTGCAGGCTCGCTGCGAATGACACTCGACTCTATAGCCCCTCTAAAAAAGAAAATACTAAAACAAAGACGGTTAGCTCCATGGTATAATACTGAAACTCGCAAATTAAAGCAAATATCACGGAAACTTGAGAGGAATTGGCGTTCTACCAAAGTGGAAAATTCTCGTTTAATTTGGCAAGATAGTCTTAAAACTTATAGGAAGGCCCTCCGTAATGCCAGAGCAGCGTACTACTCGTCATTAATAGAGGAAAATAGGAACAACCCCAGGTTTCTTTTCAGCACTGTAGCCAGGCTGACAGAGAGTCACAGCTCTATTGAGCCAAGTATTCCCATAGCTCTCAGTAGTTACGATTTCATGAGCTTCTTTAATGATAAAATTCTAGCTATTAGAGACAAAATTCATCAAGACCTGCCCTCAATTGGCACCGACTTATCTCTTAACTCAGGAACCTTAGAAACAGCTGTAGAACCAGATACATGTTTAGACTGTTTTGCTTCCCTCAATCTTTACCAACTAACTTCAATAATTTCTTCATCTAAACCATCAACCTGCCTCTTAGACCCCATCCCGACTAGGCTGCTTAAAGATGTTCTACCCTTAGTCAGCACCTCTATACTAGATATGATCAATCTATCTTTATCAACAGGCTATGTACCACAGTCCTTTAAAGTAGCTGTAATTAAACCTCTTCTGAAAAAGCCCAAACTTGATCCGGATGTTTTAGCCAACTATAGACCTATATCTAACCTTCCATTTCTCTCTAAGGTTCTGGAGAAAGCAGTTGCTAAACAGCTGTGTGACTTTCTACAGAGCAATAGTTTATTTGAGGATTTTCAGTCAGGGTTTAGAGCTCATCATAGCACAGAGACAGCACTGGTGAAAATTACTAATGACCTCCTTATTGCATCAGACAAAGGACTTGTCTCTGTACTGGTTTTATTAGATCTTAGTGCTGCATTTGATACCATTGACCATCAGATCCTATTGCAGAGACTGGAATATTTCATTGGCATTAAAGGAACCGCTCTAAGCTGGTTTAAGTCCTATTTATCAGATCGATTTCAGTTTGTAGATGTTAACAATGAGTCCTCCATGCACGCCAAAGTTACTCATGGAGTTCCTCAAGGATCTGTCCTTGGACCAATCCTCTTCACTTTATATATGCTTCCTTTAGGCAATATTATCAGGAAACATTCCATAAGCTTTCATTGTTATGCAGATGATACTCAGTTATATCTATCGATCAAGCCAGATGAAACTCATCAGTTAGCTAAACTTCAAATGTGCCTTCAGGATGTTAAAACCTGGATGACCTGTAATTTTCTCATGTTAAACTCAGATAAAACTGAAGTTATTGTTCTGGGGCCTAAGCACCTCCGTGACGCATTATCTAAAGATATAGTTTCCCTGGATGGCATCACCTTGGCCTCCAGCACCACTGTGAGGAATCTTGGAGTTATCTTTGATCAGGACATGTCGTTTAAGTCTCACATTAAGCAAATTTCAAGGACCGCCTTTTTTCACCTACGTAATATTGCGAAAATCAGGAACATCCTGTCTAAAAATGATGCAGAAAAACTAGTCCATGCATTTGTTACTTCTAGGCTGGATTACTGCAATTCCTTATTATCAGGCTGCTCGAAAAAGTCCATTAAGACTCTTCAGCTGATCCAGAATGCTGCAGCACGTGTTCTGACAGGAACCAGGAAAAGAGATCACATTTCTCCTGTCTTAGCTTCTTTGCATTGGCTTCCAGTAAAATCCAGAATAGAATTTAAAATCATTCTTCTTACCTACAAAGCTCTTAATGGTCAGGCACCATCTTATCTTAAAGAGCTCATAGCACCTTACTACCCCACCAGAGCACTGCGCTCCCAGAATGCAGGGTTACTTGTGGTTCCTAGAGTCTCCAAAAGTAGACTAGGAGCCAGAGCGTTCAGCTATCAAGCTCCTCTCCTGTGGAACCAGGTTCCAGTTTGGGTTCAGGAGGCAGACACCATCTCCACATTTAAGAGTAGGCTTAAGACTTTCCTCTTTGATAAAGCTTATAGTTAGGGCTGGCTCAGGTAGTCCTGAACCATCCCTTAGTTATGCTGCTATAGGCCTAGACTGCCGGGGGATTTCCCATGATGCACTGAGCTCCTCTCTCCTCTACTTTCTCTCCCTCTGTATGCAACCTTATCCCATTATTGCATGTTACTAACACAACTTCTCCCCTTTCTGGTAGTCTTGTGCTTTCTCGTCTCTCTCCTCTCTCCTATCACTTCCTGCAGGTTTTCTGGCTCTGGAGCTGAGGCTGTGGGTCACCTACTGCCCCCGTGTTCCTGCTCGACACCCTCTGCTGCAACGACTATTGTTGCTAGTCTTATTGTTATTATTGTTATTATAATCATTAACATTACGATGGTTACCATTAACACTATTATAAATATCTGTACCATTTTTCATTTAGTCTATAGCAACATCACTGTGTCTACCTCTGTGTGTATATTGTGTAGGCTGCCTCCCTCCCCTCTCTCTCTCTCCTTACATCTCTCTCTCCTTACATCTCTCTCTCTCTCCTTACATCTCTCTCTCTCTCTCTCTCTCTCTCACCCCAACCGGTCGAGGCAGATGGCCGCCCACCCTGAGCCATGGTTCTGCTCGAGGTTTCTGCCTCTTAAAAGGAAGTTTTTCCTTGCCTCTGTCGCCTAGTGCTTGCTCTTGGTGGGAACTGTTGGGCTTCTGTAAATAACATCACAGAGTACGGTCTAGACCTGCTCTTTTATGAAAAGCGCTGTGAGATAACTGTTGTTGTGATTTGGCGCTATATAAATAAAATTGAATTGAATTGGTTGTAGTTTGTGTGGTTGTTGTAGCTGGTGTAGTAGTGGTTGTAGTTAGTGGTGTAGTTGTTGAGGGAATGGTGGTTGTAGTTGGTGCAGTGGTGGTTGTGGTCAGTGGGGTGGTTGTTAAGGAAATGGTGGTTGTAGTTTGTGTGGTTGTTATAGTTGGTGTAGTGACGGGTGTTGTGGGTGCTGGTGTAGTTGTTGAGTCTGTAAACAGAAGTGAATATAAAAGATTACTAGGGAACTTCATAATCCAGGAAATTAACAAATGAATTTAAACATGAACAAAAAAGGAAGGGTTGTACTCACTGTATCCAACATTCACAATGACACATCGTAGCTCCGATTGATACTTGACTGTACTGTGGAAATATATCAATATTATGTCATAAATTATTTTCATATATTTCAAGATAGAAAGTCTTTCTAGCTTAAGGATGACATTTTTTTTCACAGCCTGCATGTGTAATCGTCTCAAATAAAGCACACATCAACACAATCTACACATGGTCACATTATATCCCCACAAATTCTTATGTAGAAACCGGTACAGATATTAAGTATACATCTATACATACAGTTCTCAACAAGGTATTATTCACTTAGTGATGCTACTGTAGATGGAACACAACTCTCGCGAAAGTAAGCCCTACTCAGTTTTAAAGGAGTAGTTTGACAAATATGTGCACAAATTTGATTTTCAACTCATTCCTAAAGGACTGATATCTGAGATCACACAGACGTAATGTTAAGAGTGTATTTTTACGAAAATACTAAAAATATGATTCATATGATTCAACTCCGTCAACTGATTACATTCCCCGTTCACTTTCAGGAAATGTAAAACTCCTGTCTTTCATTAAACTGACTACCGTTAAATTTGAATTAATAGCAGAGTCCCAAATAACCGCCTACCCCGTATACTGGCCTGGTGTAGGAACACCTCTTACCCTGCAGGGTTGCCTGCATTGGCTGCTTCTAACCAGCTTAGATCGGAATTAAAGGCCTGTCCCATATGGACGCATGTCCCAAATAAAGGCATGGTCAATTCAGTGATTTTAGCAAATAAAAGCCTGGGCTATTAATCAAAGTTTTACGGTAGATTATACCTGGATATATGTATTAAAGACTGAATGACCTTTGCCAGAGGAAATACAGTTCATAGTTTTTAATTTTAGGTATTTGTATAGTTTGTCCATATGCTTCAAGGTAAAGTTCATGTGAAAAATGACTGACTTGAGAACTGCCTGGACAACAAAACAGATGGGGTGGCTTTCTCCGGTTTGGTTTTCA